CATTCTGACAATAAGCTTAGGGAGGACACTGCACTGTCCCTATGTGTTTCAGGAACAAGTAACAGGAGTTCAGAGAGCAAAGGTGTGCCCCAAAGTAAGAGATGCCATAATCAGAGCTTCTCAGCACACAGGGAGGAAACGTTGGCCCCTATCAGCAGCCCTGCATGTGAAGGCCAGGAACCATACATCAGCAGCCCAGGCAAGAAGCAGCATGTGCTCTGGGAAATGAAGACCAGAGAGGTTAAGTAGCTGACTCAAGGGGTACAGAGCAACATTGTCTTGCTGGGCTTCTGATAAGTTGGAGTTTGTAGGGACCACGAGGCTTGTGGGGGCTAAGACAGTTCCTGAAAGGAGAGCCAAAAGAGTGTATACAGAAATATATATAAAAATTTATTAATGGGTGCTATGGAAAAACAGACTGACAGATACAGGATAAGGTAGATCCAGTTGCAGGGTGTTGTTGCTTTAAAAAAATAATAAGCGGCGTTGTTACTGGACAAAAAGGTCATAAGACACGACAAAACCCGGTATCAGAGCTTTATTAGGAGGAGCAGGGGGTGGACAAAAGAACCAGGCCTGGGGAAGAAGCACGTGCAGAGGAGAGAGAGAGAGAGAGAGAGAGAGAGAGAGAGAGAGAGAGAGAGAGAGAGAGAGAGGATGCACCCCATCCTCAGTGTTAAGCAGTCGCATACCCAGAAAAAAACCACGCCTCTATCAGGCTAGATACCACAGGTCATTGGTGGAGCGAATTCTCACAACAGGTTCCTATGCAGTCAGTTGGAATAGAGGAGAGGGCACATGGTTTTCCTGCTGATCCCTGGTGCAGGGCACTCCTGTATTGTTTATACCCTGGGAATGTGTGAAGGATCTACGAGGCCAAGCACAGCCAGTCCACCAATCAGCTGCTCTCTGCCTTGACAGCATCTGACCCAGGGCTCTGGTCACCAATCCATCTACTTTTGCCCAAGTTCAAAACTGATCCATGTGCCTAGCCATGGCTGTCCAGCAGGAATACTGTGCATTCAGTAGGAAGTAGCATTGTGCTGGGAGCCATCCCTGCTTTCTGAGGTTAGGTCTCATCGGCATGTGATGAACTCAGTCTTTACAGAACAGGAAGGCTGGGCCAGGTGACTTCTAAGGCACCGCAATTCTGCCTGATCAGAGGTTCTCAGGCTGGGGCATATCCAAGACCCCAGGACGGCAGGAACCTCACACCACGCAGGTGAGTGGGGCTGGATTTTGCATCTCCAGCAAGCCCCAGCTGGTCCTTGAGAAAGGCTGCTCCAGCAAGCCTGGCTGTGCTGGTTGTGGGCTGGGATCACTGGGGTTTCTGCCCAGTGCTGGAGCATTTAAATTAGCTGTGGAGCTGGCACCTAGATCTGCTTCATTTTTAAGTACCCAGGGTTAGGAACCAGTGTTCTAGAAAACCAGCCAGGGCCCGTGTGTGAGTGCACATTTGGTCAATGACTTGTTTCTCTTGGGGACATTTATCTTGGCTCCTAGCTCAGTCTCTTGTTGGCTACCAGGTAGAACAGCTTCCCCCAGTTTCCCTTTCTGTAAGGACGTTGGGAGGACACAATGGAACTGCCTCTCTGTGTTCTCCTCCCTTTGTCTCCAAGGAGAACGCATGTGTTCAGTTGAGTACAATTCAATAAGCATTAAAAACAAACAAACAAACAAACAAAGAAACAAACAAACAAAAAAACCCACGATGGTGCCAGGCATGGTGATGCATGCCTTTAATCCAAGTACTCAGGAGACAGAGACAGGAGGCTCTCTGTGAGATTGAGCCCAGCCTGATTTACAAAGTGAGTTCTAGGACAACTAGGGCTACACAGAGAAACCTTGACTTGAAAACAAAAACAAACAAACCAAATCAACCAGCCAAACAACAAAAGACCCATGATAACAAGATGAATCAGGATCCATCCTCACTCCAAGGTGCTCACATGCATACAGCATGTGTGTGTGTGTGTGTGTGTGTGTGTGTGTGTGTGTGTGTGTGTGTGTGTGTGTATGTGAGTGGGGGATGAGGCATGTGTCCAAAATGTGTGGTAAGATGAGACAAGGTCTCTAAGGAAGTCATCTTGGTTCAGTCCACTCTACAGTTTATTTTAATCCAATCCTATGAGGTCACTACTATTCTAATATCGACTCCATGGACAAAGAAGTGAGATTTAAAGAACCAGGCTTCACCAAGTGTGGTGGTGCACACCTTTAGTCCCAGAACTTATGAAGCAGAGGCAGGGGGATCTCTGTGAGTTCTAGGCTAGCCAGGACTTCATAGAGAGACTTTGTCTCCAAAAAACCAAAGACCTTTCCCTGAAGAAAAGAATCAGGCATTGATGGGGGCGAGGCTAAGAGGACCAGCAGGTTCACACCACCAGCAATACTGGGAGAAAGCTGCATGGGAGAAACAGTTCAGAAGTCTGTTTTGAAGGATGTGTAGAGTTCAACCTTGAAAAAGTGTTGCTAGAGGTGGTGGGGACCCTCATCCACAAAGCTTGGAGTAGTGACAACCTGTGTCCTTAGGAACCTGGAAGTGATGTGATTTGCTTTGTGAGCCAGGCTGAGAGGCTTAGATTTTATATCTCAGGTAATGGGAGCTCTTGAAAATCCTTCAGCAAGGGTGGCATTTTAAGAAAAGGCTTTAGCACGGCCCACAGAATCAACTAAGGGCTCATAGGGGCTCACAGAGACTGAAGTGGCAATCATGGAGCCTGCATGGGTCTGTGCTAGGACATGCTGTGGATGTTTAGCTTGGGGTGTTTGTGGGACTCCCAACAGTGGGAGTGGGGGTGTCTTTGACTCTTTTGTCTGCTCTTGGGATCCTTTTCCTGCTACTGGGTTGCCTTGCCCAGCCTTGATGTGAGGGTTTGTGCCTGGTCTTATCGAGTCTTGTTAAATGCACGTTTGGTCGATATCCCTGGGAGGCCTGTTCTTTTCTGAAAGGAAACAGAGGAGGGAAGATGTGTGTGGGGAGCATGGAGGAATGGAGGGAGGGAGGCTGTGGCTGGAATGTATTGTATGAGAGAAGAATAAATAAATACATTTTAAAAATGTTATGTGTTCAAAAAGAAGAAAGAAAAGGTTTTAGAGATCATGGTTATGGGAAAGAGGGAGCTGCAGGGCATATAATGGGAGGGAGGATGCTTTGGTGGCAAGTGGTCCATCTGGAGATACCTGTGTGTAGGGAAGGGTAAGAAATTGGGTACACGTGGGTGGGGTTCCATGGTTCCATGAAGTGTCCCGGATGTGGAGCTCTTCTGTGTACCTGTCTGTTGACTGAGCTGTTTTTTTTTTGTTTTTTTTTGTTTTTGTTTTTGTTTTTTTTAAATCAGGCTGAAACAGGGCCAGGTGGGTCCACAGGGCTACCCAGCAACACATGCACCACTAGCAGCACATTGGGATCTGGTCAGTGGTCACAGAGGACTTGGCTGATAGCCTGAGTGTTGGGTTCCTGTGCCAGCTTTGAGCTGGCCACTTGCCACACTCCCAGGATGAGGGTGGAGAGCTGGCCTGGTGGCCTGAGTCCTCCTGGCTCCAGCCTTCCAGCTGAAGCATGTCACTCTGCCTGCCTCCCACTGCCAAGCTGTGCGTCAAGGCTGGTGCAAACCCTCCGGGCTGAAGCCAGTTCCTAGAAGTCAAGTCTGGTTTGGGAAAGGGCACAGGGCTAGGATCTTGCCACTTGCCTGTGACTGGTGACCTTGGATATGTTCCTTAGTCACTCTGAAACCTAGACTGGGACCAAACGGGCTGACCAGCCACCTCTCCCAGCCCTCCTCTCCCCAGAACCTGTTGCATTTTCCCTCACACAGTATCCCTGGGGAGCGTCAAGATGGTTTAAGGTTGGATGGAACAAGCCATTACCTATGTTTTAAAGTCCAAGGCCAGGTTAACAGTTTTTAATCACTCTATGAACTTGGCAGTATTGATGCCCATTTTAAAAATGACACATGTACGGCCAGAGTCTTCCACGACTGGTCCAGGATGGAACATTTGGATGGTGAGAGCTAGGACTGGAGCAGAGATCTCTCACCCAGTCCCTCTGCCGAGCACACAAACAGTCCCTGAAGGAGGCTGTGCCACAACGGAGCCACCCCCAGGCTCTGGAATCAAAGGGTAGACAGTACCTACCCTTTCCCGGTCCACACAGAGAATTCAGCAGAAGAAAGTGCTTTGGCCTAATGAACTTCCATCTCTTCCAGGCCTCACTCGCCTCCCTGCGTGGAGGCAGACTCCAGCTGGAGTTCAGAAGCCTTGCTTTGTTTTCCGGCTTGTTTTATGCTAACCTTCTATTTATGGCCTGGGACACGGGCTTCCCATGTAAGGCAATGACATTAATGAGACTCTGAAAAATGTGTTGGGGGTAGCGGGTCTGGGAGTAAAGAAAACATTAAGAAGTATGTGGTCTGTGGAAACAAGAACGCCTGGTGTCTGGCCTGGCTCAAAGCACTCCCTAGCATTGCATGCCCTGGCTCTGTCCCGGATACGCAGGGCCAGTGTCCCACGACACCGGAGGCCAGGGGAGGTCTCCCTGGACAGTGTCCTCTGAGCTGCATCCATTGAGCAAGGTGAGTCAGGGCCCCTCGTGGCTGCACGTGTGCCACCCATGTGCTCCGCAGGCCAAGAGCCCGCAAAGGAAGCGGCGGCCTGGCTTGGGCTCCCGGCGAACCGAGGTGGGCATCTGAGGGTGTATGGGGGTGGTTCACCGAGGGCAAGGCTGGGGGGGTCAGGGGCAGGTTCCCACGGCCTGGTCTGGCGTGCGGACGAGTGCGTGCGCAGTGTCAGCCTCCTAGGCCCGTGCCGTGCGGCCTTCCGGTCACGGTGCGTGCAGCCGAAGCCTCGGGACATCCCCCCGCAGCCCCAGCCCCACGCGCCGGGGCACGCGCGTAGCCCTAGATTGCCGCGGCCCAGAGACCAGGGCGGAGTGGGGGCGGAGCCTGGCCTCGGGACCATCCGCTGATTGGCCACTTGTGGCGGGGGCGGGGCGCAGGAGGCCAGACGCCAGCGCTGGGCAGGTGGGCTCAGGACGCGTCGCGCGAGAGGGCCCCAGGCAGGCGCAGGAGGTACCATCCGGAGCCAGAGCTTGGGCTATAAGGGAAGACCCCGAGAGCTCGCCCCGACGCGAACAGCCGCGTTTGCCTGCGGGAGAGGGCGAGGGAGGAGCCAGCCCTAAGAAACTTCTCCTCCCTCGGGGAGAGGAGGTGCAGTGTCGAACCGTGCGGGCTTCGGGAGAACTTGGAGCTGCTGAGCCTTAGGGTGGCGTTCAAGGCCCCCTCCTACACGCGCGCTGAGCTGAGCTAGCGGCGCCTGGCGAGGAGCAAGCAGCGGTCCTTTCCACGAGGGTCGAGCTGCAGGACCGCAAGCAGCTCGGAAGGCCACTGCCGGGTGCGCAGCCCCTCTGCCCTGCCTACGGCCACCCACTTGAGGGCTGGAGAAGGAGGCAACGTAAGGGACCAGGCGGGTTCTCAGGTTGGTCGACACCTCCAGAGGACCCTCTGAGTCTCCGGGGTCCGTTCCTTCATTCCCGGAGTCGTCCTCCTCTCACCCGCCCGCCCCCCAGAGCGGAGCTCTAGGCGGGGACACCCCCGTATTGGACGTCCCCAAACCTCCGTGCACCTGGCTCAACCGGAGTCCCCGGTGTCGGGGCAGGGCAGGGCCGCCGGCGGCGAGCCGGAGCCAGCCCAGCGCCCTGGCCCCGCCGAGCCCTCGGAGCCCACCCATGGGGCTCCGCGTACCTCCTCGCCCGGCCGTACTCAGCCCAGCTCCGAGCGCTGCGCGCAGGAGGATCCGTACTCAGTGACCCTGGAACCCCCGCAGACGCCGGGAGACTCGGGGGCAGGAGCGGCAGGCGGTTCCCCGCTTCTCCAGGAGCTCTCAGGCAGCCCTCCAAGCCGTGCTCGGGGCCCGGCCCGCTGTTCCCAGGTAAGGGAGACACCCCAGTGGAACGGGGGAGCTAGTTAGGTGGAGTGGGGAAACCGGCTAGGCAGAGGAACGCAAGCTGGGTGACGCTGGCTGTTCATGACAGGGAAACTTAAACGGAACCTACTACCTGTCCCGATGCTTTACCCACGTAGAGAGTTAAGCTCACAAGAGGCCTAGCCTACATCAGGTGGTTTCTAGCCTCTTGCATAGCTCAGGGAACAGGGTTTATAGAGCTCTTGTGTGCTCCATTTGTTTCTGGGAGCTTTTGTTTAGATCAAGAGCCAGTCCATTTTAAAAGGAGGCAACAGAGGCACTCACCTTCCCTAGACTTAACCTTTGCAGGACCCGCCCTGGAGGAAGAAAGATCAGGACTCACCTGCCTCGAGTGCCCTGAGCTTTGGAGCGTTTCCTTTCAAGATACCCTTGCCATAAGGGCTTCCTGTAGTCAACTGGCCAGTGTGTGTGGACCTCTGACAGGCCACAGTTTCCTGCCCATCCCTGCAACCAGTCCCACGAGAATGAGGAAGGGACCTTCTGGGAGCTAGGACAAGGTCTGGAGCCATGGCCTGCTTTGGAGCATCTAATTCAGGTTTCCCCTAAGCCCCAGAGGGACAAGATGGGGTCCCCACAAGTCCTCCACTGGGCTGGGAGCAGCCAGGTGGCCCACGGCTACTCAGAGAGACTGCCCCAAAGAAAAGAGCCCTGTGTTGATTGGAAAGGCTTCTGGGTACCTGACCAGGCTGGGTTTGTTTCTACCTGATGTTTAGGAGGGGTGAGCAGACCAATTCACTCAGAGTTGCTGGGCTGGCACAAAGCAGAATTAGTTAGCCAGAAGCAGATTCCCCTTGCTCTCTGCCGTCCTGAGCTTCCCAGGATGGGAAGGGTGGCTTTGCAAAGCCCCTGGGACTCACCAGAGTGTGGGGGAAAAGCCAGGACTACAGTGTGTGTCCCAAGAGGCTGCGGTTGTGCAGGCTGGTGGTGTGGTGAGCCTGGTCTGGGGGCATGTGCAGCCGGCTGGTGTGGTGAACCTGGTCTGGGGGCATGTGCAGCCGGCTGGTGTGGTGAACTTGGTCTGAGGTGCACCCAGGGAACTCATTTAGACTCATCCAGTCGTCCTTACCCATCTGACCTGCCCAGCTTCCGTCAAGCCCTGGGGCAGGCCTAGGGAAGGTAAATGGCCCACAGTTTGCACTGCCTGGGAGCTGGCTGGCAGGGTATGCAGAGTCCTGGGCAGAGTGCCCATCCCAGCTGCCTGGAGGGAGAGAGGAAGAGGGACGTAACAGGAGTCACAGGGTCATTCCCTGCCCAGTGCCACCTAGGGCTTCACTGAGTCAGAGCTGTTTGGAGAAGACTCCAGTTTAGGCCGCTAGAGGGGTGGTGGTGGCTTTTTGTAGAGGTGAGAGGTCAGGTTTTACAGCCGAGGAGCCCACTTGTAATCCCAGCCAGGCACCTGCTGTGTGGATTCAACCTTTCTGAGAACCAGAGTCCCCGTCTGTCCTCTGGAAGGCTCCTCATTGGAACAAGGCAGCTCCTGCGTGACAGATGCCTGCTGGTGGTGGGTGCTGTCCCTGGGGGACGACGACTCCACTCCCAGTACCCTGCTTACATTCAGGTCCCTATGCTTACATACAGTTTCCCACTTCTCTAGGCCACCAGGAGGGGCTGCTGGGAAGGGGGGCCTGCTCTGTGCTGCCTGTCCTGCACTTTGGGGGGCCACCTCCCATCATACATGTGCTTTTCTGCCCAGGTCACTGGGGACTGTGGCAGCTGCCCACTGGTGAAATTCTGGTCCTAAGGCCCTTATGTCCCCCCTTGAAGGCATACCTAAAGCAGACTGTGAGTCTGTGCTTTGGGGCTGCAGCACTATGCACACAGAAGGTGCTCAATAAATGACCCCTGAATGAGAGAAATTGCAGCTGCCTCTACCATCAGCCTCACCCACCCTCTCACTCCCTTCCCCGTAACCTCACTCTGGGGTTTGGGATCTGCCCATTCCCACCGTTGTCGGGTTAGCCTGGCTGGAAACAGAGCGAGATGGGCAGGCAGCAGGGGAGACTCTGTCCTCAGGGCCTTAGGGCTTCCCTCAGGGCCTCCTGGAGGGTGGAGTCAGAGGCCCTGTCACCTGGCTTCCAGGTATCTGGGTGTCTCACATAGCCCCACGTGGCTCAGGCCATGTGAAAAGCCTAGGTCTGTCACAGATAGCCTTGGGTCCTCCTCTGTCTCCACCCCTCTCTGATCCCCTGTCTTTAATTTATGACGCCCTGCCCTGCCCTCTCCCTTGGCTTCCTCTTTCAGACTCTCCTGGCTCCACTTCCTACATGCCTCCTCTCTCACGCCTTCCTTTCTGCCTGCCTGCCGCCCTGACCCCCTGCTTTCAATCATTGTGTATTGTGAGGTCTGGATTAGAAGATGGGGCAAGGAGGCTGTGGAGGCAGACTGCATCCCTGGTGACTGCTGGCTCACGCCTTCCCCTCCCATCTAGAGAGGGGGGCTCCATCAACAGCCGTCCTCCCTGCAGAAGGACTGGGGTGGGTGCCTCCGGGGAGCAAAGCCACACTTGGGGGCCTTCAGCGGGGCTGGGGTGGGGTGGGATCCTTATCAGCACAGCCAGCGGCCAGGCAGGTAGACTGGGTGAAGGGAGGAGGTCTGCTAGCCAGAGTGGGGCTGGGGGACAGGAGTGAGAGGGTGGGTGAGGCTGATGGTAGAGGCAGCTGCAATTTCTCTCATTCAGGGGTCATTTATTAAGCACCTTCTGTGTGCATAGTGCTGCAGCCCCAAAGCACAGACTCACAGTCTGCTTTAGGTATGCCTTCAAGGGGGGACATAAGGGCCTTAGGACCAGAATTTCACCAGTGGGCAGCTGCCACAGTCCCCAGTGACCTGGGCAGAAAAGCACATGTATGATGGGAGGTGGCCCCCAAAGTGCAGGATAGTAGCCCGGGGCAGGCCCCCCTTCCCAGCACCTTGGCTTCTCTGTGCCTCAGTATCCTCATCATCTACCTTCTCAGTCACTGAGGATTGGAGCAGATGTGTGCCTGGCACTCACAGCACTGTGACATATATCAACTGCAGAGCAAATGTCATTGGTATTATTATTCTATATTTAGCCTACACTTGGCACATGCCTTGGCTTGGCCCAGGAGTGACGGTTCCAGGGCTAGGCCTGGGTCCACATTGTGCTGAGCTGGCCAATTGTGCGTGTGTCTGCCATTCATTCTTGGAGGTCATGTTGCAGACTGTGAGCTGGGAGAATTTACACCATGGAAATTGATGAATGATACCAAACAAGCTTTTTTGTTTGTTTGTTGTTTTTAATTTTTGTTTTAAGAGACAGGGTTTCTTCGTGTAGCCCTTGCAGTCTTGGAACTAGCTCTGTAGACCAGACCAGGGTGGCCTGGAACTCACAGACATCCACCTCCAAGCAGGGCTTTTAGGAAAGTGGAGGACCTCAGGCAGGCAGGCAGGCATGAGCAGAGTGGGTGCATGCCTGGAGACTTGTACCCAGGAGGATGTCACTTAGCCCTGGTGGCCATCTCAGACCATGGCCCCCTGATAGTCTCATCATGAGGCTGTGGGCAGAGCTTCAGTGTGTGCCGCGCACACACAGGCAGCAGAGCCTGCTCTGAACAGATGCATTTCAAGAAGACGCCCCTTGTGTGGGGATTCAGCCCCTCCTTGCTTACTCAAGCTGTGTTTTGTGCAATGCTCAGCCTTCACAACCAGTGGTGGCTAGCCAGGAGCACAGTGTTTCTCTGCAGGCCTGTGTCGGTGTGCAGTTCTGGGGTTAGTCAGCTGTGCTTTGTATGTGTGAGGTGCAAGGGGAGGACCAAAGCCTTTAGAGGTGGCATTTGGGATGGACTCTGCGACTAGAGGAGAAGAGTGTTCTGGGGAGAAGTTGTGGTAGCAAAGGTGTGGAGGCAGAGCTCAGTGTAACCTGGGCCTGGGGGACCCTAGCGTGCTGCGCCGGCAGAAGAAGGGGGCGCAGAGAACGGCCCCTTGGTAACCTTGTTGGAGCAGAAGTATGCGTAGGTCCACCGAGATCACAAGCCCGAGTCTTTTTAAAATCTTTTCCACGAGACTAAGAAGCTCCCATAGAAAGTTTCGGGTTTTCCTCCAGAACCTCAGTCCCTGGAGTCATGAGGCTTGAGCCTCCTCCCTTCATTCAAGCTCAGGTTGCTCAGAGGCAAAAGTTACTGAAGCCAGTGGTGGGCCGTATGTGAGAAGGAGCCCACGTTGATGCAAATCTTGGGTCCAGGGTGTATCCCGGGAGGTGACTAGGGGATTGGCAGGAAAGTGGCCTGCACTTTGCTCCTTGTTAGAGCTACAGAGCCATTGGAACCCTTTGCTTAAGAAATGTAGGTTGTCAGCTGAGCCATATGCGGGGAGACGCTGGATCCAGGCAGTTGTGGCATAAGGAGTGGGCGCTGTAAGAGAAGGCTGCCCCCTGGTGGTAGCTGCGCCTTGGGACTTTCCGCCGTGTGGAGCCCTGTGCCATAGTTGATTTGTGTGGGGAGAGAGAGGCTCCGAGGTGAAGCTTCCTGCCCAGTGAGCAGCAAAGCTGTGGCCCTGTGGTTGGTCCTGTGCTCAAACATGTGAGGATGATAAGAGAGCAAGTTGAGAAGAGGACTAAAAAGATCAGAGGTTGTGGATGAATGAACAAACGGGGGCGGTGCGGCTCCAACCCTGAGCTCCCTCAGGAAGCCCGGCCAGTGGCTTCTATTTTACACTAGAGAGCAGGCCATGAGCCCCCTGACACCGCCTCGCTTCTGCCGCAGCCCCGAGCCATGATGAAGACCTTGTCCAGTGGGAACTGCACGCTCAGTGTGCCTGCCAAGAACTCCTACCGAATGGTGGTGCTGGGCGCCTCGCGCGTGGGCAAGAGCTCCATCGTTTCCCGGTTTCTCAATGGCCGCTTCGAGGACCAGTACACGCCCACCATCGAGGATTTTCATCGAAAGGTGTACAACATCCACGGGGACATGTACCAGCTGGACATCCTGGACACCTCTGGCAACCACCCATTCCCTGCCATGCGCAGGCTGTCCATCCTCACGGGTAAGGCGACCGAGGGCACAGGACAGCTGGTCTGCACTTCGGTTTAGGGAAGTTGCTTCTTGCCAGACATGTGGGGGTGGGGCCCACAGCACCATCTGCCTATGGCTGCCCTGACACTTCAGTGATTGACGCTCTGTAACAGCCATGGGCCTGGCCCTTGTGTAGAGCTTGGCATGTGTTTACCTTTTACAGCTAGCCTATGGGACAAGTGTTTGCTGCCATTTTACAAGGGGGAAACTGAGGCAGAGAGGTTAAGTGCCTTCGCCCAGGTGGAGGCACAGCTCATGATTGCTGAGGGACCTACCCTGTGGCCTGTCTTCCCTGCTGGGAGCAGCATCTCGAGCAGGGCAGGAGCGAAGGCCACCAGGGGCTTTCTGGGCTGTCGTGGTTGTTCCTTGAAGCCAGTCTTCAGTTGATGATGTCTCTAGTGTGACCACTGTGGGCTCCAGCCATGCCTTGAGCTGCATCCCTGGACAGAGACAGGAGCAGGGAGCCCCAGGAAAACAACCCTCGAGGACTGGGGCAATAACTCAGGAAAGTTGCTGTTTAAGAACAAGGACCAGCACTTGACCCCCAGCGCCCACACCAAAGCTGGGTACGGTGGTGAGTGCCTGCCGTTCCAGCACTGGGGAGGCAGAGACGGCGGGTCCATGGGCCTTGCTGGCCAGCCAGCCTAGCCTGATCAGCAATCCTAGATCAGTGAAAGACTCCCAGAAAATAAGGTGGATGGTGCCACAGGAGCAACACACAATGCCCATCAACATGTGCACACAGACACAGATGCAAAAATGACAATTGGTGAAACATTCCCACGGAGAGCCCCACACACTGCCCCCTTTCTTCCCACTCGGGCTATTTTAGATCCCTGTGCTAGGCTGCCTTCTGGCCATGGAACTCCCTCTTCGGGTCACCTTTTCTGTCCCAGACTGCTCATGGGGCCCCCTCCATCCCAGATTTTGAGAGGGAGCATCTTGCTTAAGGAACCCAAGGTGGGCCTGGGTTCAAATCCTGAGCCTGCCTCTGTAGCATAGTGGTGTCATTGTCAGGGTCTTTGTGACTTTGCTCCACATGTGGCTTTGAAGACAGGAGGGTGTAGGGCAGCTCCTTGGAATAGGTGAGTGTCGTGTGGGAGAGCTCTTCCTATGTGGGAGGGGATTGGATGCCTCCCCTGGTAGAAATGTGCATGCGTCAATGTTAATTTTCAGTTACACAAGAGGTACAAAGGCACACTTTCCATCAGATAACGTTTATTGGGCACATGTCCCCCACCCCGGCCTCTGACTTACAGGTGGCCACGGAAACCCCTGCCAGCCCCAGTGCGTTGGCGCTCCTTCTGCACCCTCTGAAGCAGCGCTTTGCCCTGTTTCCTGTGTACTGCATTCCAAGCACGTCTATCTGTTGCTTTGCTTGCTCACCAGCCCAGGCAAGGCCTCATTTTCCAGCCTGGTTCTGGGTACAAGAGATGCTCAGGGCTGCCCATTCCCACCAGCTTCTCCTGCAGCTGTTGGCCTGCTGGCCGGGCCGCGCTCCAATGCCCGGCATTTGCAGTCTCAAATTTGGACACTTGGAGGCTGCGAGCCCTCAGGGGCAAGGCTTGGCAGCAGGAGCCAGAGCAGCTGGCAGTTGAGGCCCCCGTGTTATTCTTCATCCCAGCCCTTCGCTCACCTCACTAGAGACCGGGGTTTGCAGGCGGGTGGGCTAGACTAGGGTGCTGTGCTTCTGAGCCCTACCCACTAGCTCATGCTGGGTGTGTGTTGTCACTGTAGGAGACCAAAATGTGCTCGTAGAGGCCAGAGAGGAGGCAACAGTCACAAGCTATGATGCTCTGCTGGACCCAGTGGCTGGTCTGCAAATCAGGGACCTCAGACCCACACTCAGGGCTGAAAGCTGAGGGGAAAGGTAAAGACGGAAAGGTCTTGGAGGATGAAATTGTTACTCTGTGGCGATTGACCTTGAACTGCAGCTGGAGGCTGCTTCACATACCTGTGACCCTCCCAGGGGGGTTCCCTAATCGCTGTCAGACTTAAGGCCCCATTAGTGTGTTGCAGTGGATGAAGTGTAGTGGGTAGCCATTCCAGCTTTGATCTGGAAGTTCCAACCCCCATTGAGGCTTCGGTAACCGTCACGCCTACAAGGCAGGCCAAGAGAGGACCCTGAAGACCCAAGATCCGGATGTGCCGGCTCTCTTGGTTCCTGGACCCTGGACACTGGAGGTAGACCAAGCAGGGTTGTCCAGAGAACACTGCTGGACAGTGCTACACCTTTCCCAGACCCTGTAACCTATCCCTTCACTTGTAAGTTACCCCACAAAATAAACCTCCCTTTTAACTATATGGAGTGGCCTTAATAATTTCACCAATAATGTAGTGTGGGCCACGATCTCTTACTTATTGATGGTTTACCCTAGAATCAGAGTATATCCTATGTGCCAGGCATAGTCCAGGTGAGGGACAAATCGGGTCACAGATTTGGCCCAGCCACATTTGAGTTGTGTGACCTTGGGCAGGTTGTTTGCCTTTTCTGAGCTTCAGCTGGCTCACCCATAACAGAAAAATAATAAAATCTTCCCCGTGGAGGTACTACGGAGTGCCAAGGAGACAGCAGGTGTGCACAGTGCTCTGCTCCCAGCAGGTGCCTGTTCTCATGAGCATTACTGATGCCTGACAAGGCTGAGTGTGTGCCACCCCACATGCATTGACTCTAATCACCCTCCTGCAAGGCAGCTTCATTCACATGATGTGGGCGGGGAAATCCAGGAGCTCGGAGATTAAACGAACCCTTCAAGGTCACACAGTTGCTAAGTTGAGGTAAGATACAAACCCAGACCCCCTTCACCAACGTCCTCTGCCACACAGAGACACCAGTGCTTGCCGAATTCCTACTGTGGGGCAAGGTACTGGAGCCAGCTTTTGCTGTGGCTGAGTAAGGCCAGTCATACCTCCATGTGCACAGGAGCTCTCTGAGTTATTGTGTAACTCCACACGATGGCTGGCCCTGCACAGTCCTGTAAGGAGACAGGAGGAGGACTGGTCATATCTGAGTCCGGCTAGGTGTGCCGCACATACCTGCAAGCCCTCTGAGCCTTGACTCTCTTCCCAGAAGATGCCCTGAAGAGCCTTCCCATCAGGGTTTGCAGGATTCCTAAGTGGCAGCTGATGGGACCCGTGCTGAGGGGTACCAGGGCAGCCTGTCAGTTGATTGCCTGCCTTGTTCCCTCCACAGGAGATGTCTTCATCCTGGTGTTCAGCCTGGATAGCCGCGAGTCCTTCGACGAGGTCAAGCGCCTCCAGAAGCAGATCCTGGAGGTCAAGTCCTGCCTGAAGAATAAGACCAAGGAGGCAGCAGAGCTGCCCATGGTGATCTGTGGGAACAAGAATGACCACAGTGAGCTATGCCGCCAGGTCACTGCCATGGAGGCCGAGCTGTTGGTGTCTGGGGATGAAAACTGCGCCTACTTCGAGGTGTCGGCCAAGAAGAACACGAACGTGAACGAGATGTTCTATGTACTGTTCAGCATGGCCAAGCTGCCCCACGAGATGAGCCCTGCCCTGCACCATAAGATCTCCGTGCAGTACGGTGACGCCTTCCATCCCCGGCCCTTCTGCATGCGCCGCACCAAGGTGGCAGGTGCCTATGGCATGGTCTCACCCTTTGCCCGCCGCCCCAGTGTCAACAGTGACCTCAAGTACATCAAGGCCAAGGTCCTACGGGAGGGCCAGGCCCGAGAGAGGGACAAATGCAGCATCCAGTGAGAGGCAGGGACATTGGGGAGGGGACTTGGGCAGTGCCTTAAGGGAGGTGGCTGAGGATTCCCACTGCCCACATCCCACGGGGGCCCTAGGCATGTAAGCTGTGCTCGCTCTCCTGATTCCTAGCCACCTCCTGTGAGTCCTTATGTCTGTGGCTCCTTTGTGGTAGGACAGACACGTTTGGGGACGTCAGCCCTCAAGCTGAGACAAGCTTTCAGTATTGTTAGAGTAGGAGGAATGCAGAAGGACCACGAGTCTCGCGTCAACACAAGTCACAGGACGAGAACATCCCAGCCAGATGTCCCAGCCAGATTCCCTGGTGGCCTCTGCCCCCTCTGCGTCGTCTCTATGCTTCTGGAGAAATGGCCCTCCTGGGTCTTCAACTCCTGCCCTCTGGCCCAGCTGTGTACACCACCCCTCCAGTTTAGCTGCTGGCCACCGTGACATTGAGCTGAGGG